TGAACGAAGCTTAAAGTAGATTTAGTTTAAAGAGATAGCTTTACATTTACTTCTTTAGGGATAATAAGGGTAATTCCATCTGTTAGGGACGTGACTTCGCAAAATTAAAATGCTTATATCTCTGAACAGCGAACTCTTTTAGAGCTGATTTTTTTATGCCACAAGTATATTAAGTTATTCTAAATAGCCCAAAAAATTCAACCGTATCGCTATTTGCTGAGAAAAGTTATTACCAAAAAAGAGCGTTTGGGACGTTACTCGAAAAAGGACACCGATTTTCACTGCATGCGTTTCACTTTGAAAAATCTGCGGATTGAGGCAGTATTTTTAAAAACTAAATAGTACACTCTATAGAAGACCCTTGAGGCTACAAAATCTTTATCTAAAGTTTTTTCTGATCATGCCCAGATTTTCCAAAAAATTCAATTTAATTTTCTTTAGAAACGTGACGCATTCGTTAGGGACATGACAGAGTACGAATCGACTATTTTTTATGCTTTCGTATCTCTACAAGTGTTCAATCATTTGCCGTAAAACTTAGGACTCCTATTGTTCTAACATAAGTGTGCGCTGTAGTAAATCACATTAAAAAATTATTTTATGTTTTATTAAGGTTTTTAGAAAACAAGATTAACAAGAGGAGTGTTTTTTCGGTTTTTTAAAGAAAAAGGCAAGCAAATTTGGGTAATGTAAGAAGAACTTTAAAAAAGCTGATTGTCTAGTTGCTGCAACTACAAAAACCAGACACAATATCTTTTTTTAATAAAGTGCAAATATGACATTGCACAGTCTACAATTATCTAAAACTAATTGTTTTGTTGTTTTTCTGGATTCTTTTATTTCAAAGAAAATTAAAAGTAAGTTGACGTGACAATATATTAGAGAAAAAAAATGAGTTGTGACGTTCTTCACAAAAGACTTTCACCTAGTACGTTAAGTCAATATTGCTTAATCATGTTAGAACTAAACCCGATTAAATAATTTTTTCAAACAGATAAATTAACATCGTTGACAGGAAAAAATGCATAGAAAATTTTCAACTAATTCAATGCAGACATCTCTAGACTTAACTAAATAAAAGTTACTATATTAGTTTAAAAATTAGTTTTATATACAATCTAACTATTCGACTGTTATATTAATGAAATTAGGTCAAAGAACTATAATAAATTAACAAATAATGTTGTGCCATAATCGAACTTGTTATGAGTACACGGAAAAAATTATGCTTTTGTTTTTTGTATCTTCAAAATATAATAAATTTATATTTATGTACGATATAGAAAAATCACAATGGATTTCTGATATTTTATTTCTGTAGAGACTAGTCTTTAATGAATAAAAACGCATTTTAAAGACTCTAGTGAATATATATTGTATGAACATCAGGAATTAATAATGCAAATATTATGAGACTTTCTTGATATTTGACAAAGTATTAAGAAAAAAAACACATAAGCATTATCGATAAAATTAGTTTTATATGCATTTAGTAAAGTCATTATATGAATGTTTTTTGATGAACACTAAGAAGAATAGAATCTTTCATAAAATTTGTTAATTGTCTGTTTCTTGTTATTTATCTACAAAAAAAAAAAGAAATCTTCTACACAGATCTCGATGACCTTTTCAATTTGATAATAAATATTTTAAAGTTATTTGGAGAATCTAAAACTGATGATAACTGTCATTCTTACTTATCCAATTAATCTATATATATATATATGTCATTAGCAAAACTATTAGTTAAAGTATCTTGAAAAGGCAAAGCATAAGACATGAATGGTATGAAATTGCACACATTGACCGTAATAAGATATTACCGGATTATATTAATAAAATTCTACAACTTTATTTAATATAGAATTATTTATGGTTGATCTATATTTAAAAAAATGACCTACTAGTAAATGAAATAGAGATCAATATGTCAACAATTTTTTTATATCAGTCAATTTACAGTCATTTCCAAACCTAAGTATAACTTGACTTGTTCATTTCTGATCATCTTATAAAATATCTTACTAATTTAATTACGATAATGCAAAGAGATCAAATTATTATAAGAAAACAACATAGATTATTGAAAAATGAGATAGAAAAACGTTTTCAATACGCGTATTTCAAAATATTTCATTGTATTTCAGTGTTAATCTGTTTTATGACAATATTTGCTGTTCTTGATTGCTATTTTTCTACTACATTTCAAATTAGAAAGCACATCTACCATGCTTAAGACATTTACATCTATAGAAGTCGTTGTTGACTTGACTTGTTCATTTTTGGATTATAAAAGAAATGGGAAAATGTTCTTGTGAATTCTATTTAGGTCAACAAATCAAAATTAATTAATATTATTATTGATATTTGACTCAAGTTAAATTCTTTGTTGAAGTACAACATTTGTGTTGATATTTTTCCAAGAAAATAACATTGTCATTACAAATAGCATGAATAATAAATTTTATATTAAATAAAAACCCTTTGAAAATCAAATTTATTCATATAAATTAGTAAAATTTATGAAGATAATTTGCTGTCGAATTCTGAAAATATCTGAAAAATTACAAACCCTAGATAAAGCTTAGTGTTCTTTCATAAGAAAAAGATCAAACTAAGCGTGATATAAAAAGAATGAAAATAGCTAACTTATGCTGGCTTTTTATGACTTAATGAACTATAAAAAATTAAATATAAGTTCACTATTTTATTTCTCTTCATAACACAGCTAATTTGATCTTTTCGTCGTGACAAGACATTTTGCCATATCAATGTAATTAATAAATTTCTAGAAATCATCAAAATTTGATAGGGGAGTATCTTCATATCTACCATTGCTTTGATTCATATGAATAAATTCGATTTTCAACGAGTTTTTATTTAAAATAAAATTTTTTATTTATACTATTCTCGATGACAGTGCTATCCTCTTGGATAAATATTATGATACACTCTATACATCATGTTAATTTGATATCATTATATTATGCAAATGAAAGTACACAATAGCTTCAAAAATACAATATCAAGTTTAAAGTGAAAAAAAATTCAAATTATCTAAACAGCGATCTTCTATAGGGTTAATTGCATACTGGTTGATAAAATATTTAATGAAGTTTAAATAACAAAAGCAAAATCTATGAGAAATTTAAAATAAATCCATATTTATAAAATTACAAGATCACTATCATACATACTTTTGTACTTCGATCATATTTCTTTATTGACTTATATCGTATGTTGTTTTGTCTAATAAATGAAGTATGATGTTTTCTTTAGAACTTTAGTTATCGAAGTCAATGTTTGAATATAACAGTTGATTGAGAAAGATAGAATTGTTCTTTATCAAATCACTCATATTGAGTTTAGTTTAGTTGATGGTTGCAGGTTTGTTTAAACCAACAATTTTATACTTGATGATTTTTAATGTTCAAATTCTTTTTTATGAAGAATGAAGAAAAAAATTTGTAACAAAAAGCTTACGACACTCGGTATTCCCAGGCGGTCACCCATCCAAGTACTAACCGAGCCCGACGTTGCTTAACTTCAGTGATCGGACGAGAACTGGTGTATTCAACGTGGTATGGCCGTAAGCGAATGTATACTATTACTAGAAAGTAGTTAATAATAAATATTCAACAAGATATTCCATCAAATACATTTGTTTGTTTCTTTATAGCTCTTTCTAAATAGAACAATAGTTCTCTTCTCGTAATTCTTTATTAACGGCAAAATTTTCATTGTAAATAAACGCGGATAGGAAGAAAAACAACATTGTTATTGTGACATTTGACATTTTCTAGAAAATACGTTGCATGAATTTTATATTGTAAATCATTAAAAAATTTTTCTTTATCTTCTGATTTCAATCAAGTAATCAGACATCCTATATTATTATACATGTATATTCTTTTTGTCTTTAAAAAAGCTTCATGACAATAGCTATTCAGAAAAAAACAACATATCATATCGAAATGGTGTACAAAATAATAACCGTTAAACGGTAATAGAACGAATTGTATATAGGAATGATATAGTATGGTTTATAAATGATAAAAAAACATAGTCGTTTGTCATTTATTTTTGTGACAATAATTATACCATATTCCAATAATTTACTGCATTGTTTTTGAAAACCTTCATGTACCCGTAGCTTGTTAATATTCTATCAATATGATTCTCATTCAAAATTCCATCTTTTTTCTTTCTTTTTTTTTTTATAAGTAATAAAAATTAATAGATCGAAAATGAAACAATCAATCATCAACATTTTTTTTTGTTTTATTCATATCATTTTTAATGATTGATTGCACAATCGTATATTCTCTCGTACTGAGTTATGGTGTGTGTGTGTGTGTGTTTGTTTTCTTTCTCACTTATATACTACAAAGTTCTTTCTCTAACATTAGTAACCTGACCGTGCACATATGTAAATGTATGTCTGTCTGTCGTATTGAACGACAGGAACAACAATACAAGAACAAAAAAAGAAAGGAGAAAAAAGTGTTGTACTGCTACGTATGTCACTTCAGCACAGGTGATGAACATGACGAAGAAGCGGGCAGTAATGAATAATAGCATAAACAAACGAACAAAAGAGCAGCATAGCGCAGAATTTTGTCTCTCTCACAAATCATCAATGAAAGACACAAAGAGAAGAAAAGAAAAAAAAGAGAACGAAAGAAAGAAAAAAAGAAGACAATGACAATAAACGTTTACAAGGACGGTCATTCACAAATTCTTTGTAGGGGTAAAAAAAAAGAGAAGGTAAATTTTTGTGTATGTGTTTATAATGAGCAAAAAAAGAAGACGAAAATTTACACACATTACACATACACAAGCGAAAAAAAGAAAAGAAATTGTGCCTCAAGCTTTCGTGTCTTTTAATTCACTGATTTGCTTGATCAAATAGGCTTTTTCATCATTGAACTGTTCGTCATCCGTACCTATTGGGTATTTTTTCTTCTATTAATATCTAATAAATTTTAAAAAAAAACACAAGACTTACGATCTGTATGGAACGTCGTAAGAAAATCAATAAGTTTTTCTCGATTACGAAGAAGTATATCAGATATTGCTTTCGGTTTTGTTGGATTGGCCACGAATATCTAAATAATTATAATGAAACAAAAAAAAAATTAAATTCCATTTTGTTTTTCTTGTGTTTTTTGTTAATAGCAAAAGAAAGACAAACAAAAACCTTGAAAACATGAAATGCTTCAAATTGTATATTTTTGCTTTTTTCTTTTAATAAATTCATTTGTTGTTTGAGATTGTCCGTATTCGATATATATCTTGTCATCACCGAAAAATTATAACGATCAAGCAATAATTCGCCAAGCAGCTGAAAATAAACAATAAATGAAATTCTTTTGCAAAATTTTTAACTTAATATAAAAATGCAAAAACAAAACAAAATTAAAAAAAAAACAATGAATTGTTTAAAGTACTTTGAATAGATCAAAAACTTCTCGTTTGTATATGTCAAAAGCAGATACAGTCATAAGTTTTGTAATTATTCCTGATTTTGTATTTAAAGCAAAAGCTTCCGATGGAAATAATCCATAGATAAGAGTAAATTTATCTATATCACATGAAAACTTTTTTAATATACTCAAATTAGCATTTTCCAAAATAACCGTTGATAAAATCTATGAGTTTTTATTGTTTGTAAATAAAAACAAAGAAGAAAAAAGAAAAAAATGTCTTACTTTTAATGATTGACGACGTGTAACATAATTTTCTGAATTAAGTAGATCACGATATTTATTAAAAAATTGATCATAATTTCGTTCGAGAAAATCTGCACATAAAGATTTATGTTTGGTTAATAAATCCTAAAACAAAATAAAAAAAAAAAGATAAGAAGTTTTCTACTAGAATAAAACCTTTTTCTTTTTTAAAAAATAATCTTCAAGTTCATATTTACTCTATCGGAAATCTTTACGCATTTATGCATAAACTTTAATCATCGTTCCAGTTCTTTTCAAAAACAAATTTGCTTGAGTAAAAATTTTCATGAGGAATATGACAACAAGAAAAACTTCTAGGATATCCAGTAAAAGTCGTATCCTATCCACATAGTTAACTCAAATAAATTATATTTCGTAAAAAATTTTAATTTTCAAAAATACATGATTTAGAAGTCTAATTTTATTGATTAGAAAAAACACAAAAAATAATTTCAAAATACATACTTTAAATGTAGCAAAAGCATCGCTGGCAATATCAAACGTTGACTTTTGTACATAGTCAAAAAATTTATAAAAATCCGGTGATCTCAAAATAATTTCAGCCAATTCTTGTACACGAACACATTCACGTAACATCATACCACAATTAAGTGCAATATCGGCATTTTCATAACTAATTTTATACAAACAAAAAAGAATAATAATCAAATTTTCTTCTCTAAAGAAAAGAAAACATTTACCCTTCAATTAATTTAAATAAAATTCCAGGTCGTTGAATAATATGATCAACAGCTGGATATTTTGCTCCAACTTGTCGTCGTAATAAATTATTAAATATGGCAACAATTTCTTTTCGATCTTCAAATGTCACACGACTCAAATTATTTATCATTGTTGTTATAAGTTCTTGTGAATAAATTCCACTACATAATTGTGATACATCACTTATCGCTGGTTCACTACTACCATCACGTGGACCAAATAGACCATCTTTCAATGCGAGTAAAGTTTTGTGAATATTTTTAATTGCCTAACAAAAACAAAAAAATTCATTTGTTTCGTTTCGTTGTTTTTTTTTTGTCTTCAAAACTTACGTCTTCATAATTTTTCTTTTCTTTATCTTGTTCATTTTCAATCACAGTAAAGTAATCTTTCAATTGTTTAGCATGATCAGTCTTTGACCGAGGTGCTAATAGAGAACTAAATGGCATTTTCGACATAATATTAATCCAGTATGATTAATGATAGAATAAAACACCTGTTTCAAAATAAGATACGATGTTATACAATCTAAAACATACGTTTTTAAAAAACATATAAGAACAAATTAATCATATGATTGATGTTTTTTTTCATACAAAATTCATCGACATTCCAATCACTATGACTCAATAAGAATATCTACTGACATATTTGCTTACGAGACATTTTTCACATAGTTTTTTCTTTTTTTTATATTCTATAGTAAGAGTACGAGAGGGTAATGATGTGTTTTTCTTCTTCTGTTGGTTCTTCTATTGTTGTTATTGTTTTCGTTCTAACTCGGGATATTTTGTGATTCGAATATGAAACAAAAAAAAAAGAGCTAAAGAAAGAAATAACGACAGACCCAATATGTAAAAAAAAGCAACGAAAAAAAAAACAACAACTATATTATACATCACCTAATTACATGCAAAAATAACGTTAGTGTACGAATGATGTTGTCGTAATCAAAATGAGTCTTTCATCAACGACCACGAGTTGCGAAACAATATATATATATTTCTTTTTTTTTTCTTCTATAAACGATGAGAATGAGAAGAAAAATCGACGCTTATTTCTCTCTTCCCAAAAAACAAAACAAATAGACGCGCGTCGTCCTCTTCTCACTTCGCCCCCCACCCACTCCCAAATTATAATCAACACATTGGTTATTTTTATATATCCAATCCAAATAGAAAAGCATTAGAGGGCAGCACATACGCTTTTTTTCAATTAAACAGAAAACAATTTCTCACTTAATATTTCCGAGAGATCAAATTGTATCTAAGTAGATTATATACTCGACTATCTGTTGGCGTTGCATTTCAAATTCATATTTATTATAATATTCATTTTCGCTGTTTATTCCTAACTGTATTTTCTGTGTAGTTAAATAGAATGTATGTGTAATGTTGATAAGATTGTTTGATATTATATTGAATTAGAAAACACTTGAGAAGAACGTTTTTTATTTACTAGAATAATATTTGCCAAGGGATATGTAGCGTTCATTGTAGTAGGATATGTCAATACTTTTCTTTCTTATATGACTACTTGAATGGACGTAACACAATGACATTCCTGACTTTTTTTTCTTTAAATTAATTCTTTTATTAAAAGAAGCATCTCGATTTTCTGTAATTATCTTCAAAAGAAATACTTCTATTGATAATCATAGTATTAGAAAAAAATGGCTGTATACAATAATAAGAAAATGAAGAAAGATTCTAGTTAATATTTTAATAAGTTTACATAAGTAAGTTATTTTAATTAACATAACGAAATGATAGAGCTTAATTAAAAGAATTTTCTTATAAGAACTCCAGATAAGAAAATAAAACATGTTTCAATTATACTCTATTGAATAACGATAATAATTTGCTGTGAACATATTTTATTATCAAATCTAAATTATGTACATTATTAAAAGCGTATGATTATCATTATTAAATCAATAAACTAAAATTAAAATTAAAAATAAATTTTCATTTTGTCTTTGATATTTCAAAAACATTTTATTTATGAACTTGAAGTTTTTTTCATAATTTTAAAATTTAATATCTACAACATATGATTTTATTTTAAATGATAATAATGAGAAGAAAATGAGAATATTTTCTCAACTCAATTCAGTCCTTTAAAAAGAATCTTATACAAGAATTGTAAAGATTTCGATAGATAAAATGAATTTAATCATATATACGGAAAACAAATTGACAGAAGAAACAGATTTTATTCTTCTTTCCATTTCATTGAATGTGTCTTTTCTTTTGATGAGTAAATCATATTAAAAAAAAGAAAGAAATAAAGACAGTAAGAGCGAAACGTCTTTCTAAACTCAATTTGAATACATCTATCGGACTGATGACTCGTTTTTATCGTGTTCGTTCTGTATTATTTTTTGTTTTTGTAACTCGAAGAATAGATTGTAAAACAAGCGTCATCTCTTTATAGTCATTTATGTTTATTTAATGTGAATGTTAATTGGAACTCTTTTTTTTTTCGTCATATAATTTTTACATATTCATTTATTGGAATATATATTTAAAAAATGTGAGAAAAAACAAACAATGACGATAGATTTCTCATCGATTTCTACACTCAACGCTTATAAAACTAAACAAAGAACAATGAATCTATTACTAATTCAGAAATAAATATTAGTATTAAATTTACCTTTGACATTGGTTTTTTTCTTTTATTTCGAGAATATTTTACTATTTATTCAGGAATATTTTTAATGATATTTTGTTCGTTTAAACAAATTTTCACTTTTTTCGTATTATATTCATACTTAATAAAACTACAGTTCTTGTTTAATATATTTAACTAATTTCTTGTTTTTATCTTCAATAAATTTTTCATTTATGAAAAGTTATCTGAAAACTAATAGTAATATAAATTTTGCAGTACAAAGAAAAAGTTGTTTTGTTTTATTTTATTTTTTCTATTTTATCAAATTAAAATACATATATCAAATATTTCGACATTTTCTGATTTTGAGTATCAATCATCATCACCTTGCTGTTTAATATAATAGACCAATCATCTATATAAATGACTTGCAACCTTTTGGTACGATTAGCACCACAAACTGCAAACATGTATAAACAATTTTCAAGTAATATATCTTATTATACTTGATGTCTATGTTAAGTAACAAAAGTTTTCTAATATATCACTGAATATGAAGAGAAACATTGCAGGTTGTACAGTTTAATTTCTGCTTAATTTAATTATAAAATTGGTTTTACTCATTGAAAAGGTTCGAGTTATTTTTCAACTCTACCTAGAAAGCAGGAAGTCAGGAAAACACGACAATCTATTCGAATTTCCTTGTCGTATCCTGTTCATTTAAATTATATCCGAAAAGGATATTTTCGAATGAGTTCAACTGAAAATATTTACAGAAAAAAATCATTACTCTACATGTTGTAATATAATGTGTTAGCTTCTCCTGAGTAGTACAAGATCAAGAGCTAAATTTTTTTTTTGTTACTAATAGAACTTTTTGTTTTACATTTTCAGTGAAAGTTTGAGTGAAATCAAACAATCCATTGAAGAGTTACAAAGCAGACAATTTTTTTTATTTGTCATTCTACAAAATGAGTAAAATGACATTCTTTTCAGCAATTCTAATTATCTTTCTTCCGAAGCTAGACTCATAAAAGAGAACTTTTTCTTATCAGTTTGTTATTGAAAGAATTTTCTTTCTTTTCATATAGTCTGCACACCATCAGCTCGATTATAGACAGAACTAGAATAAAGTGTGTCACTTTATAGAAAAACATACAAGTGTTTGTTAAACAACGTGGATGTTGGACCAAGGAACGAAGAAGAAATTAAATTTATATTAGTTATAAATTTTAATAGTTTGTCGAATGCTGTACAAAATAGACCAATTACATCCTTTTCCTCTTGCTTTTTCATAGTCGAACAATTTTCTTGTTTTTTGTACGTGTCAGCAAACAATGATGTTTTTTTTATAACATATCTCTTCATAACTCAATAATAGTATGAGCTAGATAGTTGAAATTTCGTATGGCAGTGGAACGTTCAATGAGGAATCATATATTTAAAAAAATTGTCCAAATTGATCGAGAAAAACAGAAGCTTTCAACGGAGTACAGCTAAAAGTTCTATAAATCGTTGTTTAACTGCATTTTTTAGAATTAAAACTTAAGTCTAAATAACTTCTACAATTAAATAAAGAAAAAACTAATGAAAAATTTTCAGTAACGTGAAAAATTTGTTTAGCTTAAATTTGATTCTCAAACAAACAATCACTTAATATCATAAAACAAATAAATTTTATAATTTCAAAAAAAAAATAACGTGAACCCATCGTATCTCTTTTTTGTAAATGGAATTTCTAATACAGAAATAACTATCCTAAGGAGTAAGCATGTACCAAGATAGAGGTGTCACTATATAAGATGAGAATTTTTTCTCTACGAAAATCGTACGAGACTTTTATTAGGAACTACTCAGCTAGATGAAACCAACCCGAGGGATTACCCGAATGTTTTCTTTTTTTGAGATTTATTGGATTTATTTAACCCTGTGGATTTATGTATTCATAGGATATAATGCATTTTAATTATACTAAACAAAATTCGTAGTTCAAAAGAATTAGCTCTCATCCTTAGCTGATATCTTTGCTTAGCCTAATCCTTTCAGTCAGGTGATAATAAAATATATACAGTGAAATTTTATATAAAAACCATACAAGTTGCTGAGATCCAAATAAGTCAGAAAAAATAACATTTTTAATTCTTTTAAGAATAGCAAAGATGAAAAGTTTTCTTACGATTTCTTTTCATCATATAAGATTTCTTCGTCTGATATATGACATTGATATAGTCGATAATGATTTATATACATAAATATTTCAATGAGAAGCAATAGTTGTTGACATACAATACCAAACACATCACTTCGGGTACATGCAAATTTGCATGATTCAATGTGAACCTGTGTAAAAAAAAAATTGTTCTTTCAGAATAAACATGCAACACTACGTCAAACATAATCACTATTTACGATAATTGCATAAGTTCATAGTTATGGCACGGATATGGAATAAAATGTATTATTACAAACAAAAAAGAGCAATTTCCATATATGATTGCATGTAGTTGTAGCTTCTTTTTTGAAAAAAAAAAAATTTTCTCATACAAAGTTCAAGCTAATATAATTTGCATATTTTCTATCAAATTTTGTATCCATATTTATATCAGTAATAGTTAGATAGGATTGTAAAACATGATATATTTCAATAAGTTAAAAACATATTTGTTCTTTGTAATATTTTCTTTTTTTAGCTTTTCAAATAAATTTTCTCACGTATATATTTAGAAAATCCCGTCTATTAGCATTCAAAAAAAAACAAAACGAGGAACTGGCGTCTATATTCTTCCGCTAGATATTGACTTGTTTTAACTATTTCTTGTTGTTGTGAAAATTTGAAATGATTAAACTAGACCTTGAACTCGTCTTTAGTTTTAGCAAAAATAAAAATCAATACTTTAGAAAATGAATTCTTTTCAACGTTTATTAACTCTTCTATTGTATTATAATTTATATCTCGTCTATAATCGTCTGAATAATTATGACATTTTTTACTTTATGTTGACACTAAAGATTCTCTACACAATAATCGTAAAATTATCTTAAATGATTATCGTATGTCATTTGCAGTAAAATATTGAGTTTTCAGTGTATTTTTCAGAAAAGACAATTTTTGATAATCAAAATCTAGAAAGCCTAGATGTTTGTTTCTTTTCGGTAGTTTACTGTGAAACAATCCTATTGTAAGGATAACGTTTTGTCTTTTCCCTAATACTGAAAATGGCTTAGATTGTAATTTCATGTCATCATAAAAAATAGTTAAAGAATCATGGAAGGATATAACTTATGGGCAGAAATGTTCCAAGGTCGCTAGGATTGGGGCAGAAGTCAATTGGAAGATGTTCGCTTAAGTTAACCGAACTCGAGGGTGCAGAGCTTTTTTTGGATTCTACTGGTTCGCGTTCAATTTCTGATTGATATATCAAAGAAGTCTTTTCGTTTTATCGTTAACATTTGGTGTTTTTCTATCTAAATAGCAGTTCCTACAATGCATTATAATATGAACATTTGTTTTTTATTAATTTTTAATTCACTTTCATACTTTTATTTCTAATCCAACATAATACCTTTACTTAATCTTTACTTTCCAAATAAACACCAACAACAACAACAATAAAATAGACGACGACCAATAAAAGCAACAATAAAATAATTCTTGTCTTCAAAAAAAATAATCAATCAAACCGGATTAACGATATATAAATAGACAAACAACAAAACTGACAACATTAATAAAATAAATTATACCAGAAGACAACAAAAGAATGAATGCGTATTATTAATACAACTCAAAAATCTTTTTCGATATTCTTTTTTTAAAGTTAACTTAAAAATAAAATACATTCTTTTTTTTAATTGCAAATAAATAAATAATCTTTAATCAACTTGTTCATAACGTTGTTTACTCATTTGTCGTGCTAAACAACAAGCAAGAATAACTCCAATCAATGGAAATAAAGCAATAACTATGATAATTCCACCAAAAATTGGATAGTTATTTTTAATTGCTGATATAACTGTTGCATAACATCCCTGAAAAAGAAAACTTTTACAACAACAAAAAAACAAGACAGAATCATTATCTTACATTTGCATTTATATCCGCTGGTAGATATTCTTTTTTTAAATCTTTTCGTGTACATGTATGATTTAATGATTTTTTACAACATGATTCTGGCACTTGAAGAAGTATACTACCATATGGTGTTTGAAACCAATCTGTGTATGAATCAATACCACAACATAATAACTATTTGAAATAAAAACAAAATAATTTTCTTATTTCTTTTTATATTTATTTAACATACTGCATTTTGAAGACGATCGACATGTGAAGCCATTGGTTCATTTGGATATTGTCGCATAACATTACTCAAACTTGTTTTAAACGTTTCTTCGTACTAAAATAAGAAAAAAAGCTAAATTGATTGATTCTTGAGTGTTTTTTAATTTGTACGAACTGTTTGTTGTTTCATTAAAACTGTTACAGCCAATAAAATTTCCGCGACGAAGATAAGAAAAACAACGATTGCATACTAGAATAAATTAAATAAGAAATTCAAAATTATAGATCAAACTATCTTACAATATACAATAATGTAACATGTCCTTTAATTGTACACCTAAATATAGAAATTCTATTTTAAATTTAATTGATCTTTGTAAAATTAAAATTTACCAAAATGCAAATAATCCAATAAAGAAAATGATTAGACCAAGGCCAATCTTAAGAAAAGAAAAACGGAAATAATTTTAAATAAAATTTATCATTAAAAATCTTATACTAAAATATAAGGTGACGATGAACTCATTTCCGGTGTTATATCAAGAAATATTGACAGCTGACTTCGTAAGACAACGCCGAGTAAAAATAAAATTCCACCACTAATCTTAAAACAAAAAAAGAATAATTAATTAGTTGAAATCGAATTTTTTTTTCTTTTTTGAATTTACCAAAAAAATAATATTGATACAAATAAGTAATGTACGAAGCAAGGCAATGCTTGCCGATGCATGGAATCGATGCCAATCCATCTAAAATGTTAGAAAACAATGAATTTAGAAAAAAAGAAGTAGATATTCATCAGAGTTTTCTATATAAATAATTATTGTTTTTTATAGGTCGACAATAGATCGAATGGTCGACACACACATAGATATAAGCATAATAAAAATTTCTTTCATTCTGATCGTCAACAATAGATCGAACATATATATATATATACCGTCCCTTAGAGATAGAAAAAAAATGAAAAAGAAATTACGAGTGTAGAGACAAAGGTATGTTACAGAAAACTAGTTCCATTGAAAATGTAGTACTATCATAGTAGTCAGCAACAAAATGGAGAAAGACAGAGAGAGTTGGGAAAAAATGGAACAAGAAAAGTAGACTATTAAGGGCGGAGAGATGTCAAAAAAAAAATCCGGAGGAAGAAAAATAAAGAAGAAATGAACATCGACATAGGAGAAAATATAATAAATGAGATATATTCAATGGTTTGCATGCTGATGAATTTTAAGGCGTAAAGGTGGTTAACAAGCTTCACTAGTTCAATGATTCCATATTACAATATGTAATGATCAACAATAAGAAGAGAAAAAAGAAAAACATGGAAAACTAATCTAATGAAGCTCTTTTATTTTTTTTTTTGTTGTCATCATTTCTTTTCTTTTCTTTTTCTTAGTTCTATTATCTTTCTAAAAATATGTTGAAGACGTTTGTGTTTGATTACTCGTGCATCTCGTTAGGGAATCAACACATCAGGAACGAAATTTCTTTTTTCATCTATGCTTTTGGCAGAGCTTTTAACACAATATGAGGAATCTTATGCTCATTATTGTGCAAAGAAAGAAACAAGCAAAAATAATTTTTTCTATTTGTTATGGATTTTTCAAGAAAGAAAAAATCATGTCTATAATAGAGGACATTCATCAGAAAAAAGTCAGAATTTATTCTGTTTTTTTTTTATTTGCATCGATGGCACAGAATTATAAAATATTCATTATTCTAAACGGAAAGTTCTATAATGATGTGACATATATAGTTACAGAAACAAGACTTTTTTCCTTTTTCTATCAAATTAATTCAACAAAAAGAGAATCTATGTGAAGCGTGATTATTATTTTCTGGCTTTTATTTTAGTTGTATGTTTTAATTAATTGCATGTATTATATTAAATCCATTAACAACATTTCATAATATAGCCAAGTGAATAAAACTCAATTTTTATTCTTGATCAATAGAATATGAAAACACTGATAAATCATTAATTTTGATCTTGATCGATCGATTGTGATCTACAAATAATTGCATAAGTATATCGTGATATATGTTTGCTTTTCGAATAATAATTTTTTTGTTTGCTTTAAATAAATAAAACAATGACCTTTGCATAATTCCATATATACATATATGCACGAACAACCGACGAATAAATATCATTGCTATTTCGGAATGATACATTTGCTGATCATTTTATTTGATAAAGCCATAAAGAAAAAAATCGTTTAAATTCATAGAAAATTGATTTTAATCATTGCTTTTCACCTATTTTACATTAGTTTTAAATATGTACCTACTTAAAGATAAACAAAGCCATATCGAGAAGCATTTAAAAAAAGTGCTTTCCGTTTTTACATTTATTTATATTCAAATGTGAACAAAACGAAGTACAATTAGGAATTAAGCTAATTGTATAAAATTTTTATTCATGAATGTTTTAACCTTCACCATTCGAGATATTTCATCATATAGAAAAAAAAACCAGCAACAAAAAATCTTTCAACAAGTTGTTTGTCTGTATATTCTAGTGCTGTCAACACAGCTATTATCAAAGAGTTTATTCTTGGATTCATTGAAGAAAACTTTCTTTAGATAGAATCAATTAGCTTTCGTCGATAAATCGTCTTCATTATCAAAATAAATAGTTCGAACATATACTCATTGCAAAGAAAAACATTCTTAAAAAACAAGGCTTCATCACAGATTTCTGAAAAACCATCAAATACAAATAGAAGCATCATTAATCGGCCATTCTTATTTACACACTCCAACAAATCTTCTGCAACTACCAGATGTCTATCATAAACTAGAGAACAAGGCCGTAATTTCCATCAATAATAATCAATTATTAATGAGAAAACATTTTCAATTACTAGCTACCAATTGCTTTGACGTTCGTACCATCGTGCATTGAATTCTTGTTACATACGAATTACTTTCTTTTTATAATTTATTTTTTATAAAGAACGAATACGACAGCGGGTTACAGGCACAAAAGAAAAAAAGCGGGCAGAGAAACTTCGATGACAAATTAGTTCTGTATATTACAAGTGCAGAAATAAAGACTTTGAAATCTATTTGGATAAACAAAAAAAAAATTTTTTTTTGAGAATTAATGAGAACGTGATAAGAAAAAAAGAATTTCAGACATGTTATTCTTGCATATTATCTGTGGCAAAACAGCCAATTAATAGGAAGAAAAAAAAGTAGAGAACGAAAAAAAAAAAACAACACTGATGACAACATATTTCGCATTCCTATGAGATTAGAATTTTCTTTTTTAATCTAGCTATATTTAAATGGAATAAGGAGAAAAAAAAAGAAATTTATTAAAATTACACAAACTATGGACGTAAAATATATGTATACGAAATTAAAACGAAAAGAAAGAAAAAGAATCGACTTCCATTAACATTTCGGTGTTTGGCTTTCAAAAAATTTATATGTTGGATTTTCATAACCATTCATTTGTAATGCATATAAAGTTTTTTCTTCTGGTGTACATATATCAACTCCTTTAAAAGCATATTTTTTTTCAAATGTATTACCATATTGATATTTTCTTCGTTGTTGTAATATACAACGAATTATAAATAACGTAAATACAATACATAATATAAGTAAACAAGCAAATATATATGGAAGATAAGTTATAAATAGATTACGTTGTACACGACGAATAATAATATCATTATTTGATATTAATGGACGAATATCATCGTCGATTTGTTCATTATCATTTGTTTCAATTTTAATATTAAATGTTGGATCTGTACGTTCATCAACATCCCAATCACTATCACCTATATCAATTTGATCATTAGAATTATTTGTTTCAATTTTTGTTGTACTTTCATCATCATCAGGATTATCATCGTCATCATCATCATCATTATCATCATCATATTCATCACTTGCACCATAATAATCATCATTCGTATTTTTCTCATCAATTTTTTTTGATGATGCTGAAGAAAATGGATAAATCTTTTTTTCATCACGTCCTAATGGTAAAATTCGATTTTTATTTGTCATTACTGTTGATGATGAAATCATATAATCACTTAATAATTTTTCAGCTGCTTTATTTACTTCTACATATTCTCCAAGAAGAGTATCTTGAAAAAAAAAATAAAGAATAAAAATTAATCGAAAAATTATTTATTCATACCAATACGTGGTTGAATTTTAGATTGAAATTTCGAATGACGTTTAAGTTGATTTAAAGTATCATTTATTTGATTAGCTATTGAACGTAATCGTTCATGAATTGATACTCGTTTACGTTTGGCTTGATTTGGATCGACAACACGTAAACGTTCATAACGATTAACAAGATGAATACGATCACGTAATAAAACATGAAGATAATTATATAGAGCTTCTTCAATATTTTCTACCTATAATAGATTATTGAAGATATAAAAAAAAGAAGTTTAATCATTGATTAGTCTAACTTGCAAAATAAACAAAACAAGAAGCCTATATTTATATATGCTTTTTTTTTCTTTAATGAGATGTTAGAAAAAAATAGATTTAAAATCTTAAGTGTAGCTATTTCTAGAAATTATAATTAGAAGAAAATAGCAAGGATATTTACAATGCTTTTGAATAAAAAGGGAAAGAAAAACGACATTTTGATAAGTATCACACATTTAAGTACACACTCAACTATGAATGCTCAGTTGAACAATGTGATTTGCTGAAATCGTCTCATTCACGTTCTCCATGAGTATCCTCTTCTCCTATCAAGTATGCACACTACCATTATTATAATTCAGTCTGTTTTATATGTGTATATATATATATTTCTTTTTTTTTCATTCGATTGTCAAATAAACACAAATATGATTACTCTATCGTGTCCTTCTTAAAACACATTAAACTATTTCAATAAATGATGTAACAATCATTAGTCAATAGAAAAGAAAAAGCTAAAAGAAATTTTCTCACTTTTAAAGGTTTTTCATTCCAAACGATCATTAGTTTTTTATTTGTTTCCCTTTTTGCATTATTAAGTATTGTATCTAAATTCTTTTCATGTAATTCATTAATGCGTATTCGTTCTTGATTAGCTGTTTGTTTAATAAGATCATAATCTCGACGAAAATCCATATCACTTTGTTCAAATTCTTGTTGTGCTTGATAAGGATTCATATTAGCTAATAATTGTAAATCATTTTGACGATTTCTCCAACGTAATTTTAACTAAAAGTAAAATCATTCTATAAAAAATAATGTTACTTTTTAAAATTTTTACTTGATCAATTTGTTCTCTAAATTTTCTTCTAAATTCATCTTTATCTTTAGTAAATCTTTCATGTTCATTAATAGTTAAATGAGATTTTCGTGTTGATGATAATTTAATTTCATCTTGATCATCATTCAGATCTTCATCATCTAGATTTAAAAAATGAAATATAAAATTCAATAAAATGTTTATTAAATATTCACCAGCAAAATATCCTGACATTGTTTCCCATTGACGATTATCTTCAATCCAATTCGGTTCACCTTAAAGAAAAAAAAACAAAAAAACTAACATTAAAATGAAAAAAAATAAAATTTTCTGTTTTTACGTGATCCAAGTGACATAGCTATAATTTTTCGATGAGTTTCAACAGTAGTTGTTGTTGGTACAATAACAACTGATTCTTGTATTGGATCATCTTCATTTAATGTATTATCATCATCATCATCATCATCAAGATTTGTTTGATAAACATTATTCGTATTAACATCTAGAGAAAAAAAAATAATAAGTTTTTCTTTATTTTTTTTGTTTTAATACCTTTTAATGGACAACAAATAAATTCAATTCCACGAAATTTTGATAGACCACACCAATCAGATGTCATGATTGAATTATTTAATACCATAGTTTTATTTGAACAATCAATTGATGCTAATTGTTGCCATTTTTCAGTACGTAAACATTGACCTGTTCCAGTTATACTGTTCATTATACAATCATTTGTTGGTAAAGATAATTCTTCACGTTTAGAATCCATATATAAACAACGATATGGTTGAACTGATTCTTCTGTTTTACTGTCGGTTTTACAACGTGGTATATCATCATTATTTATTGATGGTAAAATTTCACACCAATTTTCAAAACGTAATACATTATCAAGTCGAACTATATTGCCAATTGAAAGAGATGGATAAGCCTTATAAAATGAGAAGAAATTCTGTTTTTTGGAAAATTTTAATTTAATAAATATTTACTTTTTGACAAAATTCAAGAATACTTTGTTCATTATTAACACATGAACTAACTAAATGTTCAACCCATATTTGTCGTTCAGTATCATAATATAAATTAGCTTTACTACTATCGCAACCTAAAACAGCGATTTGAGGATAATTATTAATCATTGGTGTTTTGAGTATAACTGAATGAGTCTTAAAAATAGTAACAAACAATAAATATACGAATTATTTTTATTTGATTAAAAGATTCAACTTACTGAGTAGATAAGTAATGAAATAAAAACAAGATTTAATAAAGGTTTCATTCTGAATAAATAAGTAAAGAAATCTGGAATGAAAGTATGAAACAATGTTTATTAGAATAAAAAATCAAAAGCATTTATGTAATATGATAATCTACATTTTAAAAAAAATATTTTTTTTTAAGTCACGTAATTCTACTCGATCACGATAAGAGTAAACATGTAATCAGCGGCCATTAGCAATTATCAAGAAGCCTTTAAATTGATTTAATTGAAGAATAAAATTTGAAAAGAAATAAAAATACGAAAGTTTAAATAAAAATTTATTTTTTCGAAGAACTTTTTTCTAATTAATGTCATAAAGGTTTCATTATACGACATCTAGTATTATTTTCATTAGTACAAAAAAGTGCCAATAGGGATCTATGAAAGGGCCTATGATGGCAATGAGAGTTTTGCTCTCGAAATATATCTATATTAGGGCTCTGCGTAGAACGAAATGGGACAGAAAAAATGGTCCCATGGGACGACTTGAGTACTTTTACAGATCAACGACACCCTATGTAATAGAAGCAATGTTTAGACTTCCAAACAAATAAATTTTCCTTATAAAATATCCAATATTAGAAATTACTCCTACAGAAATACCACACTAATTAGAAACTTCGGAAATTATTGTAATAACAATTAAAGCAATTAATACGAACCGTTCCAAAATACATCTATTTCAATAAAATTTCCGTCATTTGCGAAATTCTCTTCACTATATGATATGAATAAATATATTCATATCGTATATTTAAGGAAATTTCAGGACTAGTAAGAGATCTTGTCGCAGTTACGGAGAAATTTCCTTTGAATGGAGTTATTTCTACTTCTATTGTTAAGATTAGTTTACATAAATTTCAGGAAGTTTATGTAATTTCTCATAAGTCGCTGGTTGTTGTTGTTAAAGGTTTACTAGGCGATCAGGACAATTTCTGCTGATGGGGACGGTTCTTTTTTTTTTTTTTTGGAAATCTGAACATACCTCTTTATTAATTGGTCTAATTTAAAGTTGACATCAACAAGTGTAGATGCTGCGGTGCCATTTATCGGAAGAAGTATCTCGGTTCCATTTCACACGAAGTTCTGGCTTCTAACTATTTCAATAGATATAATAGCTTCTTTTGTTTATTTATCCATTTATTATCATCTATTTTACTGTGCTCTAATAGCGACAATGTATAAACATTTATAGAATAGAATAAAATGTCACTTTCACTAACTCTACTGAAATAGACAAGAACGCTATCCATACGAAAGAAATAGTTATATCTTTTCTTATAAAAAATGTTTATAGAAGTGTCTGTTTGTTCCATGGGATGGATCAGTGGGATGGGACAGAAATTGTGGAACATTTTCCCATCCCATAGAACGTTTGTCAAAAGATTTACGTTCCATTCCATCCTACACAGACCACTGGCGCATGTCATAGAGCATTTTAATGACTTAGACGAAAGCAAAATATTTATAACATACAAGACTTAAAACAGATGTCCCACTGGCCTTTTCAGGAGATGTAATTGGAATATTCTTCGTATAGAACCTTGTTTTGGTTATATCCCTATTATTATCGTATGACTTGCTAATCGTATACAAAGAAGTACATATGTTTATCTACCTGCAGATTGATTTTATTTCTATTTAATCAACATAATTTGCTTGACCTACATTTACTGTGCAAATGTTATATATAGGTTTTTGCACGCGGTCAAATCGATTTTGTTCAAAGACAATTGTTATTCTTCTTTTTTTGGTTAGTCTAGAGAAATATTGAAAGGTTTTTTCTGTCTTGAAAATACTCACATGAATGTTTCGTCACGATACAAGATTGCAATTATCTTGTCTCGTATGCATTTCTAATTTTGATCACGTCCATAGTAAATTGATAAATACTTTTTTTTTGATTCGTGGCATTCATTTTTTACGTCTTATCACAGAAACTTTGACCTCCTTTTACACTGTTTCTTGTATAATAAATATGTTTTTTTATTTAATATTTATTGAACAAAAATCATGCTTTATGAAATTTAGAACTTGATTTTTCTCTTTTATTTAGATTTTCCGAATGAATCCATTTACACTAGTGAGACTAAGTCATTTCCATGTGTATCATCTTCGTTTTCAATGTACTCTCTTCAAAAGTCTCTTTTAATAATACAAATTTCATCTATTTTAACTGTTAGTCAGAAAACGTATTCATTATATGAAGTGAAAAAGGAATGCATGAGTTTATAAAATGAAACAAATAAGAAACGGAAATGATTAGCGTATAATTAAAATAGAATAAATTCATTTAAGCATTTTATTGAGAAAGTAATAGTTAATTAAATTTTCCGTCATATTAATATTTACAAAACAAGTTCTTTTCATGTTCAAGTGTAATATTTTTAATATTTAATTATCTCAAATAACAAGATATATATAAATAGTATCATAAAAGATTCCTAATGAGACCATACTCCGAGATGAAAATATAATCTAATTAGATGATTGTTTTATAAAACTTTCAAATTGAGATGATTAATACTTTATTATAGATTGCTTTTAATAGACAACCATGAACTAACGGCAGAACAAATATTGAAGATGATGACACCAAATGTTGAATACACATATGTTTATGAGCATAATGTTATTAAATTTGTTTTGAAGTAATTACGGAAAATACACTGAACTATAATGGTGTGATTGTTTATACAATAATTTATTACTATTGTCGAGTTCTTTTTAAAATACAAATCACCAGTTTTTGAATAAATTTCGATGTTGGATTTTTACCGTTAAATAGAACAATGTTGGAAACACTTATCTGTATAACATTCATTAAGTTCGAAGAATTTTTTTCAAGGATATTTGCAGTTGAACATGTTTTTATTGTTATCTATTTCAACAGCTTTTCGCCGTAATCTATACTAAAATTATGCTAAAATGCAGCCAAAAGAGAACCGTATTACCTATAAAATTTTCAGGTTTCAGAACACTTCTTTTGAAGCATGAGTCCAATGTGACGATGAAAAACTCGAACATTTATATAGGAAATGCAACACTCTTTGAACTACATTTAGATGTAATCCAAGCAAAGATTGCCACGAAAAATTGTAGAAATGAGCAACGAAAAAATATTCACTTGCCAATACCCTTGAAGCACTTTCATCGAACTGAACGGATGTTACACAAATAAGCGTCCTCAACATTTCTCTATCTAATGACGAAAACTCGATTTCGATAGCTATAAACAATCGGAAGTTATTCAAAAAATCATGGTTGACATTTTTAAAAAAATCCGGCAATTGCAGATATTAAGTTTGTTTGAAGGATTTATTGGCTTCTCTTTTTGTGTCAAAATTTTGGTGTAGCAACAAAATCAGCTATTGGATATTGAACAGCTGATCCAAAAAGATTAGTTGTTTTTCATCACGTAAATATTAGTGAATTTCTACGAAATAAAGTTTCATTAATATGAAGAAAAACCAAAAATGAATTTCATGTTTCATTCTGCATTTAAAAGATTATTGATTATTGTAGATACACAAATAATTGATTGTTTTTTCCTTACAAATTTTGTACAAATAAAAAATGGCATCTACCAATATTTCTGATATATCATGGTATTACGATTTTCCACCATTTTTTACGTATGTATATTTTTACATTTAATTAACCATTATTCATCAATTTTCTTTTCTATATTAGTCTTCAACCAAATCTTGATACACGTCGTAAACAGCTTGATGCTTGGTGTTCACTTGTCCTTGATTATTGCCGTTTGAAAAAAGTCTGTACATTTGATGTCAATGATGCTAAGAAATTTCCATTATTTTCCAATCCAAAAATCAATCGTAAGTATTTGGTTTGTATAATATCAATATGAAGTACAATCTAAAAGGAGTGTCGAAATATACTGAGTACAAATTGGAACTCACTCTTCCCTCTCAGAAACCGTAACAAATACACTAACGTCCATTATAGACAATAAAGGACACCTTGGTGATTCTTTCCTCGATGGTGCGACTAACAAATATATCGTGTTTCACATTTTAAGCTCACAGGGATTGCGCAAACAATTCTTTTTTATATTTAGTATATTATTTTTCATTCAGGTCAATTGGATCATAATTTTATTCAAATTTTACTTGAAGAATTACGTAGTCGAGGTAGAATGATAGAGAGAAAAACGAAAATATGATTTTAATATATTTAATTAAACCTAGGTAATATTGAATGGCAAGATAAAAATAAACGACATTGCTTAGTCTTATGGAAATCAATTGAAGAATGGGCTAAAACAGTTTATCATTGGGTATATTGTTTAATTGATTTTAAATTTATATTTAATTTATTATTTATTTTAAAAGATAACATCACGAGGTATGAATGGAACAGTTTGTACATTCTATGAATTATTATATGGTGATGATACACGTTCAGCTGGTATGAATTCTGTTCGTTTATTTATTGCATGCAAATCGATTTTAAGTTGTTCTTTTTTGACTTGTAGAATTTCATAAGATTGATGAAAATCTTTTCCGTCGTATTCTGATGGAACTTGAAAAACATGGTCACGCTACTGTATTCTCAGATAATGGAGCTGAAGGTGTTAAATTTTTGTAGAAAATAAAATTTTCTTTTTTGTGTTTCAATTTAACATATTTAAGATAAATTTTTATTTTAAAATGAATCAAAAAATTTTATATTTCTCTTATAATCGTTTTTTTTTTCATATGGTAGATGAAAATACGAAAAAGACTTTATCTAATATTCCTTTATATTAACAAACAACAGCAAGTCCGCATAATGTTGAATAATGTCGACAATGATTAAACGAAGAACTTCAAGCTTTTAGTATGTAAAACATAATTACTTACGTATTTTTGTTTATTGAAGTTTTCTGTTTTTTTTAATTAGATTCCTATTACATATCCAATGCCAGCCTCAGAAAATGCTATACCTGACCTTGATGGAAAAACAGCCAAAAATATTCCGGTAAATATGATTATTCATATATATATCTTGTATAT